GGTAAAGGGCCTTGCTCAAGGGCCCACAGACATGTGACTGATCTGCCGAGGCCACGACCCGAACCTGCGATCTTCAGATCACAAGCACAGAGACTTAGCCCGCTGAGCCACTCACTGCCCCCAGTAAACACATACGACACACACATTAGGAAGTCACAGCTGTCATAAAGCCACATGCATAAAATAATTTTAATTTAAATAAGGATTACACATAGAGATCAATACATTAAAAAAACATGACAGCAAGAAAAAGAAAAAAAAAACAGTTCTAAAGAACGGAAGTAACATCAAAATAAAGAATGCAAGAATGCTGGAGGAAACCCTTATTGATATCTACTCAAACAAGAGAAAAACCAAAATAGATCTTGAGATTTTAGTTGGTTGTGGCTGGGCATCTTGAAGGTCCTCCAAAGGTCTGGCAGAAGCAAATGAGGTGTAACATGGGGAAAAAAAATCTCCTAGTCTACAGATGAAATCAAACATGAAGCAGGAGGTGTTATCAGCAGAGGTGGTTCTGTACATCACACATAAATAAAAACTGATATCACTGTGCATGTGCATCTTCAATCCACAAAAAAGGGGCAAGTCAAACTTTTTCTTGCCATTTGGATGAATGTTGTAAGAAACTAGAGGGAAGGGGATGATTCCATTGCTATAGAGCAGGGGTCACCAACCTTCTTGAAACTGAGAGCTACTTCACGGGTACTGAGCCATATGAAGGGTTACCAGATTGATACACTCTTCTCAAATCATGTATAATAAACATGTTTTAAATGCCTTTTCTTTATATAGATATTTTCATTTTCAAATCTATATAAATGCAAATGTGACTAAAGAAGAACAGCAACAGGATGAAATTAAATTTGAAACGCTGCTCACTGGCGAGTTGTGCTAATTTTAGAACAGGTCTGTGGGCGATTCGTGGTCCTTGGGGGCACCATGTGGTTGACCCCTGCTATAGAGGGATCTATATAGCTTATCATTACAGTTCAGGACAGCCACTGTGGAAACATATATCCTTCCAGAGTAATCGAATCAAATTACTTTTATTGTCACGTCACTTGTCACCAGTACACAGGTACTATACATGTGGGTGAAATGCTTTTGTGCAAAGCCTCTCGAAGCAGCCATAGCATGGCATGAATTAATAAAAATTATAAGTATAAATATATAACCGATAAAACATATGACAAATCTATGTATGTACAAAAGTGTATGCAGTTGTAATGAGAATTTAAAGTTAAATAATGTGCAGAAGAGCATCATGTTAATGGTCAGATCAGCAGTCTGATGGCCTGGTGGAAAAAAACTATCCCTCAGTCTGCTGGTCTGGGATCAGATGCTGCAGTACCGTCTGCCTGAAGGCAGCAGCCTGAACAGGTTATGGCTGGGGTGACTGGGCTCTTTGATGATCTTTCCCACTTTCCTCAGGCACCTCGATGTAGATGTCCTGGAGAGGGAGAGTCTCCTCCTATAATCTTCTCAGAACACTGTACCATTCTCTGCAGAACTTCATGATGATGCTGGAGCTGTTAGTGGCTGAGCAGTCGTGGTTGTAAAGCGAGTATAGGACAGGGCTCAGTACACATCCCAGGGGAGCATTGGTGGTCAGTATCACAGAGAGTGAGGTGATGCTGCCCAGTCTGATCACCTGGCATCTGACTGACAGGAAGCTGAGGATCCAGCTGCACAGAGTGCTGCTCAGGCGCAGGTCCCTTGAGGGACCAATGGTGTTGAACACTGAGCTGTAATCTACAAACAGCATTCTCACATATATGTCCCTCTTCTCCAGGTGGGATAGGGCAGTGTGGAGAGTCAGGGCATTGGCGTCATCGGTGGTCCTGCTCTGGCAGTATGCAAACTGTAGTGGATCCAGTGAGTCAGGAAGCGCAGAGCAGATGAAGTCCCTGACCAGTCTGAATAAATAGATACCAGTAGGGCTGGGCAATATCATATTGATATTATATCGCGCATGCGCAATAATCACCGCCCTGGTCAGGTGACAGATGAAGCATTTGGCCGGACGCCAGCTTTTCGGTGCCATACGGACATTCATTTACGCCCATAATTTGATTAGCAGTATGGCTTAAATGTTAATGAGATGCGTTTTGTGATACCCAAAAGTTAGTAATCTGTATAAACTTTGTTTCTTAAATTCAATTAGCGGAGCACCCCACATAATACTGTTTCGGTATACTACGGATTGGTATGCGACATACAAGGGAAGGCATTTGGAATTTGATTAAATAAATGCTGCTGACAAAGACTATGACCACTCTGTATTTCCCATTATGGGTTGGCAATTCTGGATGGTGGTCCATTGGCCTATATTTTCCTAGATTCACTTTTCTGTTTTCTTTGTGACTGACCCATATAAACTACTTTAGACAGGGACTTCGAGGTCAAAGTCCCTTCAGAAAGAAACTATTATACATACGGTGTATAATGTGTGACAACAGATGACCGTTTCATGTTTACAAGACGTACGAAATATATACTGTAAAAGTAAATATAATTGTACTTAATATATATATAAAAAAAACTTACAGTTCAAGCAGGCTGAGTCGCATCCTCATGCTTAATTTTCAACATGGAGGAATCTCTCCTACATTCCAGTGCCGTTACTAAGATGTAACATCTGGGTCTCAATTCATCTATTTTTCTGTCCTGGCTATTCAAAAACGTAACCTGTACCTCTCATAGGGTTCAACCATAACACAGGAAACCATTCACGGTGTTTATGGTGACGCATGATAGTAACAGGTAAAACACGTTTTGCAACCACAGACAGCCTTGATGAGACCGTAACCCTAGATGCCATCTAGTACAAGAGTATGTTTGCTGTTTGAACAAAACCATGTAAACGTCAATTACCACGTACTCATACATTATTATTCAAATAACCAAGCAGCCTAAATTCATCATAGGCCATAGATGAATCACACTTCTGACGGGGAAAACCTGCGCCCTTTCCGAGACCAGGTTCAATACAAAGAATATTTCCGATGGAAAATTTCAAAATTGCAAAGGCGGACTGTTTATATCATAATATAAAAATTGCATAAAATATTAAGTAAATCTGTTCAAATAACCCTCCTTGAATAGGAGCGTTTTTGCCAGTTTCATTAGATAGTTTAGATTTATTTTAGGCCAGAAAATAGATTGATAAAATAACCAGACTCTAATGTAAAGTCCTCTCAGACGGTCTAATCTTCCGTCAACGCCCTAATCTAATGTCTTGTGGCGTCCAGAACACAGGCGCTTCTCCTTTAAAACTGACTGTCAGTTTTTAGCAAACAATTAATTTTAAAACTGTTTTAATCTTGAAGATACATTTAAGCAAGCAATTAAACGTCAAAAAGATACCACTTGCTCTGGAATATTTTCCCCCTAATTCCTCATACTATATTGTAACTGCGTGGGACAAAATGGCCGCCAAATCGAAACTTACACATTTTCAAGTCTTCACAGCCGCTGTCAGTCTTTACCTTCTGTTTGAATTTATTTATAACTTGGCCAAACAAAATACAAGAGTACAGGCGTACACAAGTCTCCTTACCTGCCTGGGTGGGAAGACGGGTCTTATTTCTTCAGCAAACTTTCACATGCCACCGTGTGAGATCCTCTAATGCCAGAGTTGGATCTGTGCTAAGTTTCGTTTCCTGTAGTACAAATTTACAAAAGCAGATTTCAACACGCATGCGCGGCGTGAGAACTTTCGGTTAAAGTCGGGCGGCGTAGTAAAATATAATTTGGCCGTGTATGCAGTACTAATCAGCTAGAGAAATATAGAATTATATATGGACTTAATTATTTGTAACCCACAGAAGAAATATGTACCATGATCCACAAATATTTCACAATCCACAAATATGTATTTTCTAAATTTGTGTCTTGTATATTAATATTCACAAAAATGGAGCGATTTGTACACATGAACCATATTTTGCACATTTGTGGATTACATTATATTTGTGACTTCGCTCCTATTCATTTAACCAAGCAGATCAGCATCGTACCGCAGCTGATCTGTAGAAAAAAATCCACAAATATCTCGATCACTATCCACAAATATGTATTTTCATTTGTGTTGTGTAAAATCATATCAACAAAAATAGAGCGGGTTTTGCCCGATTTTAGATCACGTAACATTTGTAACTTAATTTCCTCCTATTTATTTGTGGATTTTGCCCACCAGCTGAAAAATCCGCAAATGTGAGGTGAAGTTAATTACTACACCAGCAGTTGTCCCGTGGAAGAAAATAAGAGTCTAAAGTTAACTAGACAACAATGACAAGGAAAACACCCTGGCTTCAGCTGGGAGGTGAAAGATAAAGCCCGTCATTATTTAGTCCAACTGCAAAAGAACTTGCCTGGGTTCAGGTGAGACGCATGTGGCAGGGCATCAAGACCATCACTTATTACAAGACCCTGCCACAGCCTTACAATAGTGATGACTCCCTCCATGATGTACTGAATTACTTTTACACAATGTTTGATGCAACAAATGACACACTTTTGAGGAAGACCATGCCCCTGCCTGATGACCATGTGCTGTGTCTGTCCACAGCTGATGTCAGGAGAACCCTGTCCTGGTTGAACCCATGCAAAACTGCAGGACTGGACAAAATTCCTGGCTGCATGCTAAGGGAGTGTGGGGACCAGCTAGCAGTTGTCCTCGCTGACATCTTCAACATCTCCCTGAGCCAGGCAGTCATCCCCATATCCTTCAAGGCCACCACCGTCACTCCTGTGCCAAAGAAGACTACCACCCCATAGCACTCACACGTGTCTTCATGAAGCGCTTTGAGAGACAAGTCATGAGGCACAAGAAAACTGGACCATCTGCCTGACATGACCCACTTCCGTATTCCTACTGCTCAAACCGCTTCACGGGGGATGCCATATTATCCACCCTGCACCTGGCCCTCACCCACCTGGAAAAAAAGGACTCATATGTTACAATGCTGTTCATGGACTTCAGTTCAGCTTTCAACACCACCATCCCACATTAACTAATTGGGAAGTTGAGACTGCTGGGCTTCAACACTTCCTTAGGCAGTGGTGGCCTAATGCTTAGGAAAATGCACTTGTAATTGAAAGACTGCTGATTTGAATCCCCGACCAGCAAGGCACCACTGAGGTACCCGGAGCAAGGTCCCGCCCCCAAGCACTGCTCCCCAGGCGCTGAATTAGCTGCCCCCTGCTATGTCACATATGGGTTAAATGCAGAGAACACATTTCGTTCTTGTGCATTGTGTGCTGTGGTGTGTCAACAATGACTATTCACTTCTCCTTATTAACTGGGTCCTGGACTTTCTGACAGAGAGGCCCCAATCAGTACGCATCGGCCACACAAGTTCCAGGACCATCACGCTAAGCACCAGTACCCCATGGGGCAACTACGTCACGTACCACTGTATACTTGTGTATGGCTGGCATGAAAGTAAAGTCCACTTGACTTGATTTGACTTGACTTGATGCTGAAGCCTACAAAGAACACACAGTTAACTATGAGGATAATTTACATGCTGCTAAATCTGTCTCCAGCATCCATCTCATACACAGCAATATGAACCCACATTTTCTGTTCTCTAATCTCAAGAAACTATTCATGCCCCCAATAACAATATTTCTGCTTCACAAGAAATCTGTAATTCTTTCCTTGTATTTTTCAACTCCAAAATATCTGCCATCTATGACTCTCTTGACTGAAACCATTCAAATGCAGATTCAGTATTTCTGTTCTCTCTCGACGTTCTAAATAACTTCTGTCCTGTCAGTATTGATAGATTTCTTCAGTGCAACCTCAGGTTCTTTTAGAGTTGTATGATGAGGCAGGTTCCTTAAGCTTAAGCAGTTTAAGACGGAAAGAAGATGTTACAGTAAGATGTTCACACACAGCTGGTTTAGTGTCTGTCTGCGTCTGTCTCTGCCCCCCCTGAGGGACTCAGGCCCTTTATCTATGGTCTTCATACAGACTCCTGAAGCTGGGGGGTCAGATGGCCTTGGTGAGAGGATATGATGTGAAGAAGCAAGTAGCAAAGGACAAAAGGAATTATAAAATTAAGATATATAATAGCTATAAATGAGTGAACTAAATGGAAATAAAGAAATAACTATAAATTAACTTGGGAAATCCTTCAGTATTTCTAAAGTCTGTGACATAATCTCTGCTCCAAATATTGCCACCTGCTCACTTGACCTTCTTCCAACACCACTCACTAAGTAATGTCTCCCAGTGCTCAGTCCCCTCCTCACCACCCTCATCAATCCATTCTTAGCCCATGGCCACATATGCGCTGTTTTCAAATGAGCAGCTGTTACCCCCATTCTTAAAAAGCCTGGTCTGCTCCCAACTAACCTTTTTAACTACTGCTCAATTTCAAATCCTCTTTTCTTTTAAAAAATTCTGGAACATATAGTCTACTCCTAGCTTCTTATCCATCTCCAGAATAATAGCCTCCTCAAACCACGTCAGTCCAATTTCTGTCAGTTCCACAGTATAGGAACCTTCTTAGTTAAGGTTGGTGCTATAAGCCTCCTTATTTAAGCTTAATTTAAGTGTGGCCTTTGACACAATCTCACACTCCATTCTGATTAAGGGATTCCACAACCTTGGTGTTCGTGGGGCAGTACCTGATTGGTTTGTTTCATATGTCACTGATAGAAAACATTTCATTATCCTATCAGCTTATGAATCACACATATCAGCTATCACGCGTGGTGTCAGATCATTCACTGCTTCTATCAAAATTTTTACCTCAATGCCGATGCCAATGCTGACACCCAGATTTACTTCAGTATCAGCTTCATAAACAACTATCTATTATGGATGAAGCACAATTTGCTCAAGCTTAACAGTGATAAGATGGAACTTATTGTCCAACAGTTAAAATCTACACTTAACAAAGTTAGCTTGATTATCCTCCATTGGGACCACACCACCATCACCTCTTCTCTGCTGGTTTGTAACTTTGATGTTATCTTTGACTAAACCCTCTCATCTGATGCACACACACATTTCACAGTAAAAACAGCTTTCTTCCATCTCAACAACATCGTCCAGCTTAAGCCTTGCCTTTCAAACTCTGCTGCTGAGTCCCTCATTCACACCTTTATCTCTAGCCATTTTGACTACTGCAACTCCATCTTCATCCCCCATCCAAACTCCATGGTTTTGGTGACCATGCCGTTTCCCATTTAGCTCTTCAGCTATCATCCAGCTAACTCCCTTCCTATTGCCATTCGTCAGTTGAATGAAGTCTCCAATTCCAAAACCAAACTTAAAATCCTTACTTTTTGCTAAAGTGTTTAATCTTCCCTATCCATAAAATGTTTGTTTGTGGTTGTTGTTTTATCATATCTATTTACTTTGCTATCCTATGTAAGTGTCTTTGAGTTGCTATATAAATATAATATATTAATAATTATTATTATTATTAAAACTAGCAAACCCTCTGGCTTGGAAAAGACAAATCCTGACATACGTTTCACACACACTGTAAACAATCTATTTTAAAGCTCTTTTCTGTAACTGAAATTCTTTATTTGTGCTACAGTTATTGGGCAAGCAGTCATACCATTTTCAGACTTGTCTGACATGTCAGACTTGTTTGTACATGAAAAACAACCTTTAAAAATTGATGTGCACATATTTGTACAGCATAATACATTCTCTTGGTGTGTGTGATGACGTGCATGCATGGCAGGGTGCAATCCTGGGTGTTTGAAAAAAAGTGCACTATCACACCGATGTTGTTAAATATACTGAGGGAGCGTGCAGTGGTATGTACGTAGTCAATGAAATAAGTGCTATGCATTTCAAAATAAGCTATGCTGAATACAGGGTCGCAAACTCACGCCCACATGGTGTAGCTGACCAGCATAAAGGCTCCCAAGAAGAAGGGGAAACACAGCAGGGAGATGAAGAGGGTGTTCATCTGCCGGGCATTCAGGGGCCTTCTGGGGAGCTGAAAGTTCATCTTCAAGCTGGTCTGACAGGAGGAGCAGAAGCGACTGAGTCACATAGTCGCCAAAACAGGGAAATGATGCTTTGCATGATTACTTTGTAAGCCTTGCAAATGTCGCTTATTTGTCAGCTATGCAAACGGACAGGGAAGAAACTGGATTTTAGACTGGCAGTTATGAAATTAGTTTGACGCCTGCTGGTGAAGTTAAAGTACTGCAGGCTGCATTCTATTGTAAAGTGTACAGAACCCGGAATTACTTATAACAGGAAGACAGCTATGAAATTAACTTAAAGTGTCCTCTGAGGCCATAAAGTTAACCAAAAACAAACCATTGTCTGCTCTATATCGAGCCATTTTGACATAAGTAGTCTTTGAATGCCTTTGCTTGTCCAGAACAAAATGCATATCCGCCAGTAGAAAAATCAGCAAGAATCATTTCCATGCTCTGTGACCATTTATTAAACGCTGCGCCATCCAGAAACCCTGGGAGGTATTATGATGTCCAGCAGGGGGCGTCATTTACCTTTTTTACGTAGAACAGCAGAAACAGCTTGACAACTTGCACAGCAGGCAGTAATGGCGCAAACAGGACCCCCAGCCTGTCAAAAGTAATATTCTTACTTTTAGTCATTAAGAACCTAAACACCAGTCTATCTACAAGACCATCACTGGTCTCACTAGCCTGGACAGATTGCTTGTCATTTTTGTAAGGGGGTCGTGAGGCTCCAGTGAAGGAGTCCTGGTTACCAGACAAGTGCCTGGCCGTGAACGAGCTCCAGCATGTTCCGGACGATGTTGAACTCCAGCGCCCCCTTCCTCTTCAGCACTTTCTGTAAAAAACACCTGGGGACAAGCGGAGATATTCCTCAGAGAAAAAGACACATCTCATACATTGGGGTGGTGAGGGAGGGACCACTAAGTGTTTCTAACCAGAAGGCTGTTAGCTCAAATCCTGGGAGGGATCCTGTTGCAGGACCATTCAGCAAGGTGCTTAACCTCAGTTATTTGAAATATCCAGGTATGTAACTGATGTTAGAAGTGGATAGTTCAGGTCCAGAAAGAACAAATCCAGACCAGGAGTTTGTTTCAACCAACAGTTGAGTATTAAATGTTACAGTCACAGAGTATTCAACTTGTTGGTTGAAACAAAATCCTGGTCTGGATTTGTTCTTTCTGGATGGCTTGCGGATTGCGGATGGCTTGCTGTCCTCACCTCCAGGTGAAATCACTAAAGAACGTGTCCAGGAGAGTGATGAGGAAGTCCATTAGCAGGAGGCGGTAAAGCTCCTGGCCAACAAAGCTCTCCCAGCACTGCAGACAGCCAGCAGGGGGCAGTAACATCAGATGGGTCCTATCACTGTCTTCATGCAGTAACACAGTTTATGGGAATCGCAATGAATTTAATGTGACAATCAGTTGCTGTAACATCCCTTCTGTCACATTGATTATAAACTTCATGATACTGATTTACACCTAAACTGCTCAAAAATGGTTTAGAACACCTCATGTCAATTTTTGATTAAGTTGTTCCTACCCTCATTTAAATTGTAGTCACCATTTTTCCTTCTATATGGATGTTTGTGACATCATTGTCATGGACCCGCAGTGAACTCACTTACCGGCGGTGACCCGGCTCCCTTTCCCAGCCAATGGTAGCACAGCAATCCCAGCATGCAAACCTTCAGCGCCAAGTCTCTGTCCAAAATCAACAAAGCAGTTAGTTATGCTGTAAAAAATATATTTCCAACGACTTACCCTGGTGAGGGTCATGGCAGTGAAGGCCAGGAGCCAATCCCAGGCAGCATCGGGCTCATGGAAGGGGGACACCCTGGACGGGATGCCAGTCCACCACAGGACACATAAAGACAGTCACACACTATGGACAATATACAGATATCGCTATACCCACCTCTGTGCCAACTTCATACATGGAGCAGAGACAGGATCCAAACCTTCATACAAACTCCTTCATGTATTTCTACCACTTACCTGAAGATAGCGACCCAGACACAGACACAGGGTGAGCTGTACTTCTCCAGGTAAGCCACAATGTTAAAGACAACAGGCAGAAACATGTTGATGGTGGACACCAGTGCAGGTACAATCAGCAGATGGACCTCCTGACCCATGGGATTGTCTTTTTGGGAGTTCATCTGGCAGTTCGTTAAGAAACACTGAATTACTACATACCTTGGCCAGGTGCAATAAAAATTTGTAGCTAAAGGCCTGGTATAGTACTGCTGTATAAACGAAGGCCTGCTGTGACATCACTTCATGGCTAAAGGCCTGGTATAGTACTGCTGTATAAACNCCACTAAGTGTTTCTAACCAGAAGGCTGTTAGCTCAAATCCTGGGAGGGATCCTGTTGCAGGACCATTCAGCAAGGTGCTTAACCTCAGTTATTTGAAATATCCAGGTATGTAACTGATGTTAGAAGTGGATAGTTCAGGTCCAGAAAGAACAAATCCAGACCAGGAGTTTGTTTCAACCAACAGTTGAGTATTAAATGTTACAGTCACAGAGTATTCAACTTGTTGGTCGAAACAAAATCCTGGTCTGGATTTGTTCTTTCTGGATGGCTTGCGGATTGCGGATGGCTTGCTGTCCTCACCTGCAGGTGAAATCACTAAAGAACGTGTCCAGGAGAGTGATGAGGAAGTCCATTAGCAGGAGGCGGTAAAGCTCCTGGCCAACAAAGCTCTCCCAGCACTGCAGACAGCCAGCAGGGGGCAGTAACATCAGATGGGTCCTATCACTGTCTTCATGCAGTAACACAGTTTATGGGAATCGCAATGAATTTAATGTGACAATCAGTTGCTGTAACATCCCTTCTGTCACATTGATTATAAACTTCATGATACTGATTTACACCTAAACTGCTCAAAAATGGTTTAGAACACCTCATGTCAATTTTTGATTAAGTTGTTCCTACCCTCATTTAAATTGTAGTCACCATTTTTCCTTCTATATGGATGTTTGTGACATCATTGTCATGGACCCGCAGTGAACTCACTTACCGGCGGTGACCCGGCTCCCTTTCCCAGCCAATGGTAGCACAGCAATCCCAGCATGCAAACCTTCAGCGCCAAGTCTCTGTCCAAAATCAACAAAGCAGTTAGTTATGCTGTAAAAAATATATTTCCAACGACTTACCCTGGTGAGGGTCATGGCAGTGAAGGCCAGGAGCCAATCCCAGGCAGCATCGGGCTCATGGAAGGGGGACACCCTGGACGGGATGCCAGTCCACCACAGGACACATAAAGACAGTCACACACTATGGACAATATACAGATATCGCTATATCCACCTCTGTGCCAACTTCATACATGGAGCATAGACAGGATCCAAACCTTCATACAAACTCCTTCATGTATTTCTACCACTTACCTGAAGATGGCGACCCAGACACAGACACGGGGTGAGCTGTACTTCTCCAGGTAAGCCACAATGTTAAAGACAACAGGCAGAAACATGTTGATGGTGGACACCAGTGCAGGTACAATCAGCAGATGGACCTCCTGACCCATGGGATTGTCTTTTTGGGAGTTCATCTGGCAGTTCGTTAAGAAACACTGAATTACTACACACCTTGGCCAGGTGCAATAAAAATTTGTAGCTAAAGGCCTGGTATAGTACTGCTGTATAAACGAAGGCCTGCTGTGACATCACTTCATGGCTAAAGGCCTGGTATAGTACTGCTGTATAAACGAAGGCCTGCTGTGACATCACTTCATGGCTAAAGGCCTGGTATAGTACTGCTGTATAAACGAAGGCCTGCTGTGACATCACT